GGACATTTTTCCATCCCCACCGTTAGACCATAGAACATTGAACAGTGCAGCACAATACAGGCCCTTCGGCCCACTATGTTGTGCCGAAATTTTACCCTAATCCTAAGGTCTATCTAATCTCCACCCCTACCTTATACTACCATCCATATGCCTATCTAATAGCCGCTTAAATGCCCCTAATGAGGCCGACTCCACTACCCTCTCCGGCAATGCATTCCACACCCTGAACACTCACTGAGTAAAGAACCCTTATCTGCCTTCCGGAGGGACCGCTCTCTCAGTGACTCCCTTGTCCGCTCCACACCCCAACTAGCCCCACCACCTCTGGCACTTTTCCCTGCAACTGCAGGAAGTGCTACACCTGCCCCTACACCTCCCCCCTCACCCCCATTCCAGGCCCCAAGAAAACCTTCCACATCAAACAGATGCTCACCTGCACATCTGCTAATATGGTACATTGTATCCGCTGTTCCCGATGTGGCCTCCTCTACATCAGGGAAACCAAGCGGAGGCTTGGAGACCGCTTTGTGGAACACCTACACTCAGTTCATGACAAACGACTGCACCTCCCAGTCGCAAACCACTTCCACTCCCCCTCCCACTCCTTGGACTACATGTCTATCCTAGGCCTCCTCCAGTGCCACAACGATGCCACCCAAAGGCTGCAGGAACAGCATCTCATATTCTGCCTTGGAAGCCTACAACCCAATGGTCTCAATGTGGACTTCACTAGATTCAAAATTCCCCAAACCCCGACCTCATCCCAAGACCAGCAACCCCTCTCATCCTCACCTCCTTGACCTGGCTTCCCTCCCAGCCACCCGCCCCTCCCTGCCAAATGACCAACCCCCATCCCAACTCTCTACCTACACTCCCCTTACTGACTTCATCCCTGCCTCCTTGACTTGTCCGTCTTCTCTCCACCTATCTGCTCCTTTATCCACCTTCCATCATCACCTCCCCCTCTCTCTATTTATTTCAGAGTCCCCTTCCCCTCCCCCATTTCTGAAGAAGGGTGCAGACCCAAAATGTCAGCTTTCCTGCTCCTCTGATGCTGCCTGGCCTGACCTGTGTTCATCCAGCTCTACACCTTGTTATCTCAGACTCCAGCATCGGCAGTTCCTACTATCTCTTACCTGCAAATAGCTGTTCCCAGTATATGTTTGCCAGATCTTGTCTAATGATACTGAAATTGGCCTTCTCCCAATTTCAACACAACTTTTGCACTATCCTTACGCTTTTCCAAAATGACTTTGAAACTTACAGAGTTATGGTTACTATCCCCAAATGCTCACCCACTGAAACTTTAGCTACTTGACTAGCACTGCCTGGTCTCTAGTAGGACTATGCATTAGCACTTCTCATGGACTTGGTGGGGAAAATTTGCTGGAATATAGGGAAAGTGCAGAGATATGTAACAAGTCTTTCAAAGAGTTGATGCAGGTGCAGTGGAACTGAATAGCCTCCTTTTTGCTATATCATTTTGTGATACTATGGATGGTGACTAAAAATTATGGGAAATGTAAGCATCTAGTTTTAGAGATAATAGTTAAATGGGACAATCAAGAAGCTACACTTTTTAAAATTCTGACTACCAGCTCTCAGAGATTGATTTCAAAGTTGCTAAGAATTATAAATTCATGAAGGAAAAATATTCCAAGCGTTTTATGATTTGGAAATATGTTACTGTTGGAGACGTGGCTGTAAAATTGGGCATAATATCTTACAAGCATGCCAAAATATCCAGCCATACTAGCAAAGGGCACTGTGCAACATTTAATATTTCTTAAAGAATATTCTGCTCTTCTATTACCTAAACATATATGAGCCAAACTCTTCACTTCAAATATTCTGAGAGAACACATAAGCTCAGAATTCAACACTTTTGTACATTTGCCAACGTAACAAGAAGGTACATCTGGAGGAAACTGTGATGTTCTCTCAAAATTGGCATAGGTGGCTGCCAAAAGTTGAAAAAGGCAGCCAGGATTGGCCTTCGAAGATTTAACCAAGTTTCATTTATTCTTTTGAAGCGATGCAAAATTCTGAATTTCAATTTATGTGTTAAAAAGGATTTTGGTTCAGATGTTAATGTAATAATTTATTTTTGATTAGTTGGGTGGAATTAAATTCAATTCTTAAATCTGGAAATATAAAGTTTGTAAGGTTTTGGAGTAGATCTGTAGCTCGGGTTGTGGGTGTTGAGGTTGGTTGGCTCGCCAAGCTGGTTTGTTGTTCCGCTGACGTTTCGTTACCGTGCTTGGTAACATCCTCAGTGCAGCCTCTGATGAAGTGTCGGTGTGTTTTCCTGCCTGGTTTTTAAACTCTGGGGTCCGTTGCAATGGATTGCCTCACTTCCGGGTTTCCTCCGTAGTGGAATGTATATGGTTTCGAGTTCAATGTGTTTATTAATAGCCTGCTTCGTGGAGTGCCATGCTTCCAGGAATTCTCGTGCTTGTCTCTGCCTAGCCTGTCCCAGGACTTGGTGTTGTCCCAGCCGAAGTCGTAGTTCTCCTTGTCCATGTGGATTGAGATGAGTGAGTATTGGTCGTGTC